TCTGTTCTGGCACTGAGTATGAGTGTTGCTTCTCTGCAGAAACACAGCAGGTATGCAGAGTTTGACAGGCCAAGTTCTAGAGATGGTCTGGCTCACTCCAAGGACAGCCTGTGGTGCTCCCACACACCTACTGGTCCTGGGCAAGTGGTGGAATGTGCCAGGCCGGTCCATCCTGGATGTTTTCCCTGCCTTGTCCATCTGATTTTAACAAATAGCTGTGTTTTCACTGATGAGCAGTAGAGTTCCCTGGCCAAGGCCTGTGGCAGATGGTCACATCTTGTTCTCTGTACATTCAGCCTTCTTATCATCCCTGTTTTACAGAGAAAGAAGTGGGTTATGAGCCTGAGTGATTCAGATGTTTGCCTTTCCTCTCACTTCTATCAGTGACAGGCCTTGGGGCACTGTGCCTCAGTAGATCCTCTCCTGCCACGGTGGACAGACACTCTCACCTTGTGTCTGTCACATTGGGCCACGTTTTGTCCTGCTCCTCTTGCTCCACTGACAGGGCAGAGCTGTTTCAGCAGGGCCAGCATGTGCAGCACCGTTAAGAGTTAAGCCCCATGAAGCTGCTTCCAGCATTTGTGGAGTTACCAGAAATGAACTGCTGAGCTCAGTGTTCCACCAGCCAGCAGGAGCAGGCAGGGCCAGGCAGGCAGGGCTCTCAGCACACCCCACCACAGGAAGTGCATGACCTGTAGCTGGGTTTGCCTGCTCTCCAATTCCAATTCTTCTTGCTGCAGGGATGGGTCAGAGCACTCCGGGTGATCCACAGAGCCCAGATCTGATGGACCTCCAGTGCCCTCAGCGCCAGGGGAATCCCTGCAGCTTTCTGATCACCTTCCCACCTCATCCTGTGTGGTAGTGGTGGGAACGGCTGAGTTGAAGGCAGAAGGGAGAATTCGATGCAGAGCCACACCGAGGTGTGAATTCCTGCAGTCCTGGCAGCAGCTTCCCCGGGGCCTCCCTGCCCAGAGGGGACAAACGTGCCCAGCAGCGTGGGTATCACCCGGACCTGGCGGGGAGGTGGGGCTGTGGCAGAGCCAGCACAGCTGAAGCCCTTTGCATAAGGAGCTGTTTGTTTTACTGAATTGTTAAGCCCATTGACAACAGCAGCCCCTCCCTCCCTCCCTCCTCTCACACTTGAGGAACTGTGGTGGCCACACACTGATCCTTTCTCTTGTCTTCAGGCACCGAATTAGGGTTATTCTTCCCCGAATCCTTCTGACTGGCTGTTGCCTCTTGTTCTCTCTCTCTCTGCAGGCCTACGAGTGGGCCTTGGAAGGGATGAGACACCTTGCCTGCATCAGCATGGAGGACTGCAGCTCTGCTGAACATTGTGCAGGGGTCATCAAGTGCCTGGAGAGTTACAAGGGGCAGCACCCGGACATCAGCGACGGCCGCTTCCAGGAGATGAAGGAGCTGGCCTGTGAGCTGAAGAGTGACAAGGGACTCAAGCAATGGAAATTTGCCTGGTCCAAATGCCAGGAGACTAAGCTGGTTTTTGAAAAGAAACTGGAAGCAGCCCTGAGGACAAGGAAGTCTCTGCTGTCAGACCGCAAAGCAGGCTCGGGGGAGCAGCCCCGGGTGGGCAGCGAGGCCGGCAGCCTGGCCCACCGCAGGCACTCCGAGGGGGCCTCCTCCAGCTCCCACTGGGACAGGACTTACAGCACATCCCACTGCTACAACAGGCCCAGCTGTTCTCCTGGGTGGACTAAGGAGAAAGCTCCCTCACCCTCCCCAAGCTGCCCTGGCAGTGTCAGTGCTGGGGAGGAATTTGCTACTCTCAGCTCTGCTCCTTACTCGAGCAGAGTTTCCTTTGCTGGTGGAGCCTCCAGGTCTCCAAAGCTGCCTGAAGAAAAGCCAAACCTGGAGAACATACTGGAAACCCTGGAGGTGAAACCATCCTGCAGCTCCACTCCAGCCTCTGGGAAGCTGCCTCCCAGGAGGATCCTCCGGAAGGCCCAAAGCTTTGACCTCCCCTGTGGTGAGAGCCTGTGGTCGGGCTGCCAGAGGACACCAAGTGAGCCGGCCAGGTACGGCAACACCGGCGTCTTCATCAAGGGGCTGGAGGTGAGCAGCACTGAGCTGGTGGACAGGACCTTCGCCCTGAGGCAGCAAGCTGCCCCCAGCTGGGCTGCAGACTGCCTGCTGGAGGGACACAGGGGCTGCCTCACCCCGTCGGAAGCCAAGAGCTGGGGCAGGTAAGTGACCGTGACGCTGGGCGCGCTCTGGTCCTCGGGGTGGTGAGAAGGCAGCCAGCAGGGATGGGAAGAGCTCTGCAGTGATGGTTATTTTGGGGATGGGTAGATAAAGATGGAGCTCCAGCTTCCCCAAATAACTTGTGTGTGATGCTGAGTGGACCCACAAACGTGTCCCCACACACTCTGGTACTTGCCTTTGAGGGAGACAGAGAAATGGGATCTGTTGCTCTTCCCCCACAGCGTGGATCCTAAACAAAAGGGGAAACAACAGTTCCCAGGGAGGAGGGAGAATCTGTGAACATTGCTGACATTTGGGGACAGGGATTCCCAGAAGCATTACCACTGAACCAGTGGTACAGGTGCAGTGGGAGAGCAAAGACATAGTGTATCAACCCCCAGCTTTTGAAGGGGAGGCTGTAGCCAGACTGGTGGGGAGCACTTCCAGAGCCCTGTGACACCTGCTTCACAGCTCAGAGAGTGTTTAGATTTGTCCTCCAGGGCTGAGATCTCCAGGAGAGAGATCTGGCTTTTGTTCTTTTCTATTATTTCTCTGTCCTTGAGGACCTCAACTTAACTTTGTCCTTACTGCGATGTACCAAGGGTATGGAGGGCCCAGTAATGTGAGCTTCTGTCCCCTGGCAGGTGTCTCAGCTGCTCTCATTGGGTTTAAAAAAATATAAATAGTGGTAGAGATGAAAAACTAGTGCTGGGTGCAGAGGGACCACAGAGCTGCTTTGGATGGGATGCCTGGGGACAGCAAAATCCTCTGGAAGGGGCCTGTGGTATCCCAGCATGTGTCAGAAAAGCTCAGGGCAGGGGATGAACACCAGCAGACAGGAGGCCAACTGCTCTGCTTCCCAAGGGATCCATGCCCAGCCCTCCTGTGGGCGCTGGGGGAAGCTGGGGGACAGGGAAGGCAGCCACAGGCTGGAGGAGTGATGTTTGGTGCTGCACTGCCTCACAGTGGAAACCTCCAGTACCTGGAGTGATCCTAGAATCACAGGGGTTGGAAGGGACCTCTGAAGATCATCGAGTCCAACTCCACTGCTGCAGCAGGAACACCCAGGGCAGGTCACACAGGAACGTGTCCAGATGGGGCTTGAAAGTCTCCAGAGAAGGAGACTCCACCACCTCTCTGGGCAGCCTGTCCCAGGGCTCCATCACTCTCAAACCAGTGGTACAGGTGCAGTGGGAGAGCAAAGACATAGTGTATCAACCCCCAGCTTTTGAAGGGGAGGCTGTAGCCAGACTGGTGGGGAGCACTTCCAGAGCCCTGTGACACCTGCTTCACAGCTCAGAGAGTGTTTAGATTTGTCCTCCAGGGCTGAGATCTCCAGGAGAGAGATCTGGCTTTTGTTCTTTTCTATTATTTCTCTGTCCTTGAGGACCTCAACTTAACTTTGTCCTTACTGCGATGTACCAAGGGTATGGAGGGCCCAGTAATGTGAGCTTCTGTCCCCTGGCAGGTGTCTCAGCTGCTCTCATTGGGTTAAAAAAAATATAAATAGTGGTAGAGATGAAAAACTAGTGCTGGGTGCAGAGGGACCACAGAGCTGCTTTGGATGGGATGCCTGGGGACAGCAAAATCCTCTGGAAGGGGCCTGTGGTATCCCAGCATGTGTCAGAAAAGCTCAGGGCAGGGGATGAACACCAGCAGACAGGAGGCCAACTGCTCTGCTTCCCAAGGGATCCATGCCCAGCCCTCCTGTGGGCGCTGGGGGAAGCTGGGGGACAGGGAAGGCAGCCACAGGCTGGAGGAGTGATGTTTGGTGCTGCACTGCCTCACAGTGGAAACCTCCAGTACCTGGAGTGATCCTAGAATCACAGGGGTTGGAAGGGACCTCTGAAGATCATCGAGTCCAACTCCACTGCTGCAGCAGGAACACCCAGGGCAGGTCACACAGGAACGTGTCCAGATGGGGCTTGAAAGTCTCCAGAGAAGGAGACTCCACCACCTCTCTGGGCAGCCTGTCCCAGGGCTCCATCACTCTCACAGGAAAGAAGTTTCTCCTCATGTTGAGGTGATCCTTGCAACTCATCCTAGGAGCTGCTGTTTGATGAAGGGATATTAGTTCCCCACTCTCATTTTTACTGGGACAAGCCCAGCAGCACCTGGGCCCACCACTGGTGTTCTCCCAGGGTTAGCGTTGCCTCCCAGTGCATCCACAAGCATCAGGCTGACTCCTCCCTACAGAAGTCACCTTGGCTGTTGGTGGGGCAGCCTGTTGTGTCCAGAGCAGGGGTTGGGTGGGCCTGGGGGTCTGTGTCCTGCTGAGCTTGGGTCAGGACCCCAGCCAACCTGAACAGAAAAACCTTGGCTCAGCCCCACACTTCGTGGGGATCTGCTGACGGTCACAGCCGCTCTGAACTTGAGCTTGGGTGGTGTGATGGGATCACCTCATCTCCGAGCTGGGTCTCAGGGGGAGCTTCTTGAGTGAAAGCCCCGTGCTCTGCAGGCACTGTGGGTGCTGCAGCCCTGCTCCAGCCTGGCTCCCCTCAAGGCTGAGTGTCCCTCCCCTTGCAGCAAGCTGCGGCACATCATCGACGAGATGGTGACGACGGAGCGGGAATACGTCCGGTCCCTCTGCTACATCATCGAGAGCTACTTCCCAGAGATGGAACGTCTGGACCTCCCCCAGGACCTGCGGGGCAAGCGAAGTGTCATCTTTGGGAACCTGGAGAAGCTCTATGACTTCCACAGCCAGTACTTCCTGCGAGAGCTGGAGAGCTGCTGCAACCACCCGCTGCGGGTCAGCCACTGCTTCCTCCGACACGTAAGGCATCCGCACACCTTCCCCTGCTGCTGCTTCCCCTGCTTCCCATGCCCAGCAGTGCCTACACGTGTGGCTGCTCACCTGTGTGTGGCTCCTGGGGAGCAGGAGGACTACCCTGTGCTGGGTTGGTTTGTCCCCTGCCTGCTCAACTGCTGGGTTGGACTGGGATGGCTCCGTGAAGCTGAGCCCAGGCAGCGGCACGTGCTCTTTGGTTTCCTGTTGTTCTTTGCCGCCAAGAGATACTACCAGGGGAGCAAAATGTCTGCTCCTTAAAGCCCACCTGCTTTTGGAGGGGCTTCTCTCACCCTGTCTGTGGTGTTGGTGTGGGAGGACTTCAGTGAGCAGGGGGTACAGACCTGCTGCTCTTGTTGAAAAGGGCTGCTGGGGAGAAGCATGGGGCACTGGTCTTAAGCTGCTCTACTTGTTTGCTGCTCCCAGGTGAATGGCATTTGTTGGAGTATGTTTGGGGCAAGGGGTGACAGGACAATAGATTTAAAATCCTGGCTACTGTAGGACTAGGAAGATAAGAACATTCCCTGTTTTTTAATGAACTTGAAGCAAAGTCATTCCCAATGCCACAGGAGGCTTTGGTGCAGCCTGGGAAAGGCAGAAGTAGGAGGGTAACCAAGCCATGGCCTGGCTGTCACTGTCCTGGCTGTGGGCTGGTCTCACAGGGGTCTCATTTGCAGAAGGACCAGTTTGGGATGTATGCCTTGTACAGCAAGAACAAGCCAAAGTCGGACTCACTGCTGGCCAGCCATGGGAACACCTTCTTCAAGGTGAGTTCCAGTGCCTGCATCACCATTGCTCCTGGGATTTGGGTCACTGATGTGTCTAACCAAGCCCAGCTTCCCTGCCTGGGGTGTCTTCAGCCCTGCCCCTGCTTCCGTGGCACAGCTCTGCTCAAGTGTATGTGGGGGGACAGGGCCAGAGAGGCAGTGGGTGCTTTGGGAAGGAGCCCAGCACACAGCAGCATTGATCCTCCAGCCCTGCCTTCCCTGAAGAGCAGTTACCCCAGTCAGGAAATCATACAATCATGGAATGGTCTGGGTTGGAAGGGACCTCAAAAGATCATCTAGATCCAACCCCCTGCACGGGCAGGGACATCTCCTGTCCAACCTAAATCTCCCCTCTTCCAGTTTTAATCCCTTTCCCCTTGTCCTCTCCCTCCCTGCCCTTGTCCCAAGTCCCTTCCCAGCTTTCCTGGAGCCCCTTCAGGCACTGGAAGGTGCTCTAAGGTCTCCCTGGAGCCTTCTCTTCCCCAGGCTGAACACCCCAACTCTCTGAGCCTGTCTTCACAGGAGAGGTGCTGAGAGAGTCTGGGGTTGCCAGAGCCTGCCTGGGAAGCTGCTGCCTTCACTCTGCTGCATTTTTCAGATCAAGCAGGTGCAGCTTGGGGATAAGATGGACCTGGCCTCCTACCTGCTGAAACCCATCCAGAGGATGAGCAAATATGCCCTGCTCCTGAAGGACCTGATCAAGGAGTGCAGTGAGGCACAGGAGCAGGAGCTGGGCTACCTCCGTGCAGCTGAGGAGATGGTGAAGTTCCAGCTCCGACATGGGAACGACCTGCTGGCCATGGATGCCATCCGTGACTGTGATGTATGTCCCAGTGGCCTTCCCTGCCTGGGGGGGACAGAGCCACCCTTCTTCCCCTTCTCTAGTTTTGGGATCTTTGGATTGTATGGTGAGCATCCCCTGCCAGGACAGCTTAGCAGGACTGCTGAGGTGTAGGGTGAGAGAACAGCAGGGCTTGGAAGTCTCCTTGATCTCCTAGGACAGACAACCTAGATGCTGTTACTTGAGCTGGGTGAGCTTCTTGTCATGAGCTTGTTCCCAGATGGTTATTGGTGACATGAGACAGCCTGGCAGCTCTTGTAGAAGTTGTCCTGGCTACTTATCACCAGCTTAAAAGAGATGGAAGGGCCCTTCTTGCTGCCTTGGGCCCTTCTCTCTCTTTTGAGCTGGTGATAAGAAGGTCTGGCAGTTTGCAGGAAGGAATTCAAACTGATGCTGATGCCAGGGGTAGACCAAAATCAGCTAGGTGGGAGGAGAGGTGTGCCAAGCACTGGAGGAGGAGAAACCACAGGTGGGGGAAGATTCATTTGGGGCTGGAAGAACTGAGGGACTTGCCTTCTGAGCCAGATGTGCAGTTTGGTGGGACTCCTTTCCTCTTCAGCTCTTGTCATCCTCCTAAGATAATGCTTTGGCTGCTGCCTCCAGATGCCACCCAGATGTTTGTCACAGGTGTGCAGAGGGTGACAGCAGGTGACTCATCTGTGGGTTATGCCTGGGAGAAGGGTGCAGCTGTCCCCTCAGCTCTGAGCCAGCTGACTCAGCCTGGTGTGGCCTCTAGCAAAGCCACTCTTGAAGAGTCCTCCTCAGATGACAGGTGGCTGCCACTTCTTCACCACCTGGGCCACAGCCACATGGGACCCAGCTCTTCAAGTCCAGTTTTGGTGCTGCCCAGACCTGATCCTGCTGGGATCTGACCAGGATGTTCCCTGTGTCCAGGTGAACCTGAAGGAGCAGGGGCAGCTGGTGCGGCAGGATGAGTTCACCATCTGGCTGGGCCGGAGGAAGTGCCAGAGACACGTCTTCCTCTTTGAGGACCTGATTCTCTTCAGCAAGCCCAAGAGGATTGAGGGTGGCTTTGATGTGTACATCTACAAGCGTTCCTTCAAGGTAAGGGCAGCCCTGCAGCTCTCTCTGGTGCAGGAGGTATCCATGGCTGGTTTCCACATGGACACATGGCTCTGGAATGGGGGCAGGAGCAGCTTCAGCAGAGAAGAGCTGCTCTCACCACTGCTTGGCCTTCCAGCCGTGCCAGAAGGAAATCATGGGATGGTTTGGGTTGGAAGGGACTTTAAAGATCATCTAGATCCAACCCCCTGCATGGGCAGGGACACCTCCCACCAGCCCAGGTTGCTCCAAGCCCCATCCAACCTGCCCTTCAACACTGCCAGGGATGGGGCAGCCACAGCTTCCCTGGGCAACCTGAGTCTCACCACTCTCACAGTGAAGAATTTCTTCCTCATGTCCAACCTAAATCTCCCCTTCTCCAGTTTTAATCCCTTCCCCATTGTCCTCTCACAACAAGCCCTTGTCCAAAGTCTTTTTATACTTCACATAATGCCCGGGCCCACTTTGACCTGTGGGATGTGGGGCTGAGGGATGCGGGGCATGAGGGGCAGGCAGTGGGAGTGTGGCAGGGAGGTGGTGTTGCCTCTAGATGAAGCACTGGGAATTGCTGGGCTGCCTCTGCTCAGCTGTGTCCAGACTATTCCTGCTCCTGTCCGGACCCAGAATCACAGACTCGCCAAGGCTGGAAAAGACCTTTAAGATCATCAAGTCCAGCCTGTGACCTGACACCACCACCATCAGCCAGACCATGGCACTAAGTGCCACATCCAGCCTTTCCTTGAGCACCTCCAGGGGCGGTGCCTCCACCCCTTCCCTGGGCAGTCCATTCCAAGATCTGATCACCCTTTCCATGAGGAAGTGCTTCCTGATATCCAACCTAAACCTCCCCTGGTGCAGCTTCAGGCCAGGCCTGTTGGTCCTGTTGCTAGTTGCCTGGAAAAAGAGCTGTCCCTCAGGCTCCTTCCCCTGGGTGTGCTGAGCTGGGGGTGCCAGGGGGGCAGGATGGTTCCCTGGTGCAGCCCCAGTTGATGCTCTGCTCCCCCTGTTCCTGGCAGACTGCAGACATTGGTCTGACCGAGAACTCCGGGGACAGCGGCCTGCGCTTCGAGATCTGGTTCCGAAGGAGAAAGTCCAGTGACACCTACATCCTCCAGGCCAGCTCAGCTGAGACCAAGCAGGCCTGGACCAGTGACATTGCCAAGATCCTGTGGCAACAGGCAGCCCGCAATAAAGGTGTGATTCCTTCCCGGGGCGGCTGTGCCACCAAAGGTGCGGGAGGCCTGTTCAGCTCGTGCTGTCCTGAGTAGGTTTGGAGCCTGTTGCCAGGCAGCTGTGTGCCAGCATGCAGCCTCAGGAGCATGTGCTGGGCTTGGCTGGGCATGTCCCTTCCCTGCCCCTCATCCCCAGGGAACCTGACCACTCCAAGCTTTGTAGACACCCAACTGGATTCCATGGGAGATGCTGGTTCAGGGCTCCCTGCGCTGTGAGCGTGGGCTGTGCTCCTGGGGGGCTGCTGTCCCCAGGGTCTAGGCCACTCCAGCAGTGGCAGCTGTACAGCTGGGTCCCTCCTCTCCATCCCAAGCTTCCTGCTTGGCAAGACCCTCATAGGTGGCATGGCACTGAGCTGCTTAGCCAGAGCAGGGCATGATGGCTTGTCTGTGGAGCCTCCCCAGGACTGGGGAGCAAGGGGAGAAGAGACCTAATCTCAGTTGTTGAGCATCAGCCTTGCCGGGGGGCGCTGCACGGTGCCCATGGGGCAGGTTGGAGCAAGGTCACGAGGTGGCTCTTGGGTCTCTTCCCCTCCAGAAATCCGCATGCAGGAGATGGTCTCCATGGGCGTGGGCAACAAGCCATTCCTGGATATCAAACCCAGTGAGGCAGCTATCAATGATCGTGCCATCGACTACATCATGAAGGGCAGAGGTGAGAACCAGCCCTGCCTGTGCCCCGGGGCCCTGGGAACTGAGCAGGGCTGGTGCTCAGGGCATTTTGGGGATGTTTTTTGGCAGGTGCCAGGACCAGAGCATCAATCGCCGTGTCTCTGTTTGACCATTCCAACCCCTACAAGAGGACACAGGCACAGATCTCTGCTGGCAGCACCCCAGCTGCATACTGCCCTTCCTCTTCCTCCTCCTCCTCCTCCTCCCTGCTGGGACCCCTCAACCTGCACATGTACCTGGACCAGGCTCTTCTGCCAGGTGTTCTGGCCCCCAGCCGCCCCTTTGACATCGGCACCTGCATCGAGGAAGATGAGCTGGAGCACGAGACCAGCAGCCAGCCCTCACTGAGTATGTACCCAGGGTGCCCGGGGGTCCCAGCTGGTCCCCACGCCTTGTTCCCCACTCTGGGGTCACACTGGGACTCCCAGAAGTCCCAGCCCCATAGCCAGATGGACACCTGGAAGGCTCTGCCCTCCCACCCCAGCTCTGTCTTGGCTTTCATGGGGGGGATTAGTGAAGTGCCCATGGATGTGCAGCCATCCATCTGGCAGGCTTGGTGTTGCATGCTGGTGCTGCATGCTGGTGCTGCCTTGGAGACCAGTGCTGGTCTCTGCCTGCCCCTCTGGTATGAGGCACTCCATCCCTTCCCTGGTCCAGTGACCCCTTGGCTTGCCTGGGTGACCTTCCCTGGTCCAGTGACCCCTTGGCTTGCCTGGGTGACCTTCCCTGGTCCAGTGACCCCTTGGCTTGCCTGGGTGACTTTCCCTGGTCCAGTGACCCCTTGGCTTGCCTGGGTGACCTTCCCTAGCCAGTCCATCCCCGTCTCCAGCCCTGTTTGCTGCACTTCCTTGGGTTATTTTCTTGCTTCTGCCTTTCAAGTGCTCCAGACGGGAATGTGGCTTCTCCGTGGGCTTGTGTGGCCAGTGCCTCTGTGAACAGGCACATCATCAAATGTATATGGCACAGGTCATGCAGGCCAAGTCCATGGTCATCTAAGTGACCTTCCTCTCCTCCCCCAGCAACAGAGAGCTCAGAGTCATCCCACTGCATGTCAGGCAGTGGCTCCAGTGGCTCCGACAGCGGCTGCGTCTCCAGCATCCCCCAGGAAAGCTTCTGTGAAGACATGGGCTCACCCCCCTACGTGCCCTTGGGCTCCCAGCACAGCTCTGCCATGGAGGAGAAGCCCAGGTTCACCAACAGCCAGTACATTTCTGCAGTAAGTGCAAGCAGCCAAAATTCTCTCTTCACTTTACCTGGTCCTTCAACTGCCTCCCCGGTTCAAGCCACTGTGGCCTCTTGTGGGGGGGCTGAAGATGCTGCTTTTGGGCTAGGAGTCACTGTGGGGAAGTGACCTCTCTTTGCAGTGACTCTCCTCCTCTGGGGCAGGCAGAAGCCCCTTTGTCATGAGATCCTCCCCTCCAGTGGCCAGGATCCCTGAGGAGGTGCTCTGGGAAGTATCTGCAGTGCTGGAAGCTACGATGGGAGGAGATGCTGCACTCAGGAGCTTTAATGCTGTCACGGGCTGGGGTTGCACACACAACCACCTGGGGTGGATGGAGCTGCTGCAGATACTGCTGAGCTCCTTTCCTGGGAGGTTTGGGCCTTTCTTGGGGAGCAGTGGGATGGAGGAGCAGGAGCCTGTCACTCTTGAGTGTCTCATGTTCCTGAGAGTTCTCAACTGCTTCCCTTCCTGCTAGATCGTGTCCTGATGCTGTTATCCTCTAACCCCCTACTAATGCTGGCTTCTCTCCTCTGCAGAAAGCAGGCCAGGTCACCATAAGTCCCTCGACAATAGTGTGAGCCCCTCGGCACATCTATACTGCCTAAAGGAAGCAGAGTTGTTGTAAGTAGCCCCTGAAGGGGATTTTCCAGCAGCTCTGAGTGCTGGTCAGGTTTGTCAGTAGCTCTGAGTCAGGAGAACCTCACTCTCTGCTTCTCCATGAGTTCTCCACATACATTCCTGAGCAGTCTGATTCAGCTACTCAGGGAAGACCCATTAGACCCATAGAGACCTTCAACAGCTGGTCTGATGCCTCCTGGGTCTGAAGGAGCAGAAGCAAAATCACTTGGGTAGCAGAGGCTTGAGCACCACCTAGTATCAGTGTTCAGATGAGCTTCTGCCCAGCTGTCTAACCACTAATCTGTTTCTTGTGGCTGTTTGCTGAAATCCTGCTCTTCTTTAGTCCCCTCTGAACTGCCTTGGGGAATCCACAGTATCCTCCCCAGGCTGGATTTATCCCACAGTTTCCTTTGAACCTCCCAACTGCACATCAAGCAGGCAGAGGAACCTGCTAGGTTCTGCTCAGCATGTCCTGAGGGAGCTGCCAGATGATGTTCCTGTGTGTGCTGGTTTCTGGAGGGTGTAAGGAAATTGCTGTTGATTTACAAGACATGCAGCCACATTGGGCTTCCTGTCTGGGGGTGGCAGCCCTTGGAAAGTCCTGTCAGGGCCCACTCTCTTGCTTCTGGCTCAGCTTTTTCCTCTCTCAACCCCCCTTTCCACTGGGAGCAGAGGGGCATGGAGAGGTGGGATTAGGACTTGGAAGGTCAAGGCACAGGGTGGCACATGGCTCATAGATGTGACACTGTAGCAGTGTTAAAAAGCACACAGGCCTGTGGCTTGTGATCTGCAGGGACAGATGTCCAGAACCAGCTAAAAAGGCTAAAATTTCAGATCCAGAGCCCCTTTTTTTGAGGGGGTGGGGGTTGGAGGTTGGATCACAGGCAGGACCTTTAAAGCATCCCCAGAGGCAGCAGGGTTTGCTGTCCCACTGCTGCAGGGACAGCAGCACAAAGCCAAGGTGCCCTCTGTGTGAGGGAAGAGCCACCCTTCTCCTGCCAGGCCCTTCCACCACAAGGTTCACTCACTCCCCACCCAAAAGCAGCTCTGACAAACAGGTGGTTTTTCAAAGCATTTGGCAAAACCACTTCAGGCCAGAGGGACCTGTGGGATCCTGCCCATCAGGGGGTGCAGCTGCTCTAACCATTGCCTGCTGCTGTGTTCCAGGTTTGATTGCCATTTCAAACTCACTGAAGACCCCAGGCCTCTGACCAGCAGGACGAGACAGTCTTCACCCATGAAGATACATTGATTTTTTTATACATAATCAGGCTCTTTCAAACAGCCCCAAACCTGAGCTCTGCCTGGGGGGCCTCCCAAGAAGGTTCCTGACAACTCCACATAGTAGCTTTGGTGTTGGATGGGACCTTGGCATTCCAAACCTAGCCCTGTATTTATAAGTCCCACAGCAGTTTGGAGAGGGAAAAACAGACACAAAAAAAGAAAAGTATTATTTTTAAAGCTATGAGCTGTACAGATTTTTGTTACGAGTGACTCTTGTTACTATTTGTTCTTGTAAGCTGCACATTTTATAAAGTTTTGGGAAGGGCATGAAGAGAAACTGAGGTATTTAAGGAAAGTAGTGTTAACTTTCTGTTTCAGGGTTATATATTGACCTGGAGCTCCAGATGTAACGTCCTTCCTTATGTTCTAAATGTGTCTATCATAGCAATAATTTATTTTCTTGGCTTAACACTTCTGTTTTAATAAAAGCAGTTTCATTGTTACAGTGAATTGGTTCTTCAGATGATTCTTCCCAGTGACCCAGTGCTGAGCTTGTCTCTGTCCTAACCATCTGTCAGCTCCTCCCTGTGCAATCCCTGCAATAACCCACTGCCAGCTGAACCCTGTCACACCCCCAGGAGAGGGGTGGAAATCCTGAGTGGCAGCATGTGGAGATTCCCCTGGTGCTGGGGGGAAGGCCAAGGCAGAGCAGGGAGCTCAGAGCAGCCAGCAGGGATGTCACAAGGCTGGTGGAGGGCAGGGCACACAAGCCACCTCATTTCCAGGCTCTAATCTCAGCCCCTGACCCTGTGTAGCTGCTGGCCAGGTCTTCTCTCACTGCTGGGTCAGGTTCTAGGGTGCCAGTGGCAAACTCCAGGGTGCTTGTCCTGGCTGTGCCCTGGGTTTTGGGGAGACAGAGCTTGGCTTCTTACCCTCACCTCTGACTCAGCCCCTCTCCAGGTACTCCAGTCCCACCTTGCACGGCGGTGGCATCCGAGACCAGCAGATTTTGAGCATGATGGGTTGGTTATCATGTTGGTTATGGTGCTGAACCTTAACTGCAGGTTGTTGGCAGTAGCATAGCCCCCCTGGAGGACAGACCTGGCCTGTGTTCCAAGGAGCCCTGTTTGTGACACCAAAGCTCCCTGCATGGCTGTGACACCTTCCCCGTCTTCCTGGAGCAAATTAAAGCAGCATTTTTGGAAACCATAGTTCCTTGCTGCCAAGCTCCTGTTTTGCTCCTGGTTTCTGGAGTGCTGGACGTCAGGCTCACCAGGTGGGACAGCAGGGATGTCACATCCAGCCAGAAGAAGCTGCAGTCATGTCTTTTACCTGCAGTTGGGGGCTGGGGGAGCTGCCCACCCCCTGCTGTGCTCTCGGATGTCCAACCTCCAAGTTCCCCTCCACGTCCAGACCTTCTCCTTCAGGTTGGGAGTTCCTGTACTGTACATAAAACACGTTTGCTTTTGATAAGCTGGATGTCTTTTTTAAACCTTGCTCTGGTTTGGGATTTTTTTTTATTTTAGACAGCAAAGAGAGCACAGTTGGACACCTTTTTTTACAAAATGCTGTGGGAACCAGTTGCACAGGGAAGATCTTTAGAAGTTACTGTTTTCAAAGAATGGCAAGATTTTTTGGGCTGTCGTGACAGCAGTGGCTCATGATGAGGGAGAGAAGATATTAATGCAATAAAAGGAACATGAAACTTCCTGACTTTCTCAAAGGTTTCTGCATTGCTGGAAAAACCTTTAGTGATGTTTACCTGACACTGTTTTTTCAGGGTTGGATTGATTTGTCTAATAAAGGTTATTTTCTTTATATGAATCTGGTTTGTGTTGTGCCTTGATTTCAGGGTGGGAACCTGAGCTGCAGAAGAGGAAAAGGGGAGAAGAGCACCCTGGGGCGTGGAAATGGCCTCTCAGAATAGGGGTGGGAGATAGAAAGGATGTTTTTTCTAATCAGGTTGTTAGGGTGAAGCTGATGGTGCCTCACTTGAGTTGACTCAAGTGTCAACTCTCCTCCCCAGAGCTGCTGAGGTTTTAAAACAGGAACAGCCAAGTGCTTAAAATAGAAGATGAGGTAACTGCTGCAAAGCCCTGATGAGTCTAATTTTATTGGGCAAATAATAACTGCCAGATATATGGGCAGAAAGAAGGGGAACTTTATCTTCATTCTGGATAAAGTTCCAAGAAGGCTGTTTTCTTGCTGAGGTGCAGGTGAGGGTTGTACCCCCTGGACCCTCCTCACCTGCCACAAGAAAATAACCTTTCAGAAAAAATATCTGGGTGAAGTTTGTATGAATATTCTGTGAATTGAACAGTTCCAAGGCAAAGAATGAGATCCCTCTCTGGATCAGAAAGTTGAGGCAGGTAAATGGAAAAAGCCCAGCCTTGAGGCTGATGGAATCACCCCCCAACAGCAGCATCACCCCCTCCTGCCACACCTTCCCAGGCCTGGAATTCTGCTGCCCCTCTTTCTCTGGGCAATCCTCCAAATTAGCAGCACATATTTAAACTCCTCTTCAGACACTACCTGACATTAATAAACTTTTCTTGTCCCACCCCACCTTTCACTTGCTCTTCAATCAGGACTGGGAGCAGTGAACTGGTTGGGGAAGAAGCCAGGAGGGCTTGGGAGGAGCCACCCACCAGCACCTGCTGGCAAGTGCTGCTCCCTGCCAGCCACACAAGTGGCTTTTCTGTTCCTTGCACAGCTCTGAAGGGACAAGGAGCCAATTAAAGGGCAATTAATCAGTGCTGGTGGATCTAAAATTTGCTCCCCACTTCTGAGTCTTCAACTCTGCTCAGCCAAGGAGCCACATCCAGCCCTGGCTCAGCAGCTGGTGACGAACTCACCGTGTTGGAGGGGGATGAGGTTCATTTCCAAGGTCTTGGCTCTTCCCTGGAAACACTTTCTGTGGGCAGAACAGGAGAAGGTCGAGGCTGCCACTGGAATTCATCAAAGGCTCTTACTTCTACAAGTCATTCAGTGAATTCCTTTTGAAATCAATCACAAAACACACGTTCACCTTCTGGCTGCTCCCTGGGAACATTATCTGCGTCGTTTCCTACTGTGGGAGTAGTTCTGATGCTGCTCAATGGGTACATTCCAGCAGTTGGGGTAACCAGCAAGTGAACACACACTGCTCCATCTCCAGCCCTGACTTCACACTGGGTAGCAGGATTGTTTCCCAGAGCTAGAAAGCTGATTTCCCAGGAGAAGAGGCAGTTGGAGCTTTGCCACCCATCCTTTCCAGGAGCATTGCACTGACTGTCACTCTCCATGATGCCAACCATCAGACCTTCTCTTGGAGCTCACTTGCCAGTCATAGAATCATGGAATCACTGAACCATTCAGGTTGGACAAACCCCTTAAGATCACCCAGTCCAACCATCATCCCTGCTCTGCAAAGTTCTCCCCTAAACCACCTCCACCAACACCACATCCAAACCACCCTTCAACACACCCAGGGATGGTGACTCCACCACCTCCCTGGGCAGCCTGTCCCAGGGTCTGACCACTCTTGCTGGGAAAAAATCCTTCCTAATGTCCACTCTAAACCTCCTCTGTTGCAGCTTGAAGCCCTTCCCTCTTGTTCTGTGGCTAATGACAGTGAGAAGAGACCAGCACCAACCTCTACAATGACCTTTCAGGTGGTTGCAGAGACTGATGAGGCCTCCCCTCTTCCTCAAACTAAATATTCCCAGCTCCTTCAAGCCTTCTTCATCAGATTGATTCTCCAGGCCCTTCCCCAGCTCC